GACCAAGATGTACCTGTAGCTGTTCCAATTTATGGCAACCTCCCAGGTATTAAATAAAATTCAGTTTGTTATGCCTCTGTGAGGTCGTCATTAAAGTACAAATGTATGGCAGGCAGGAAATCATCATCATTCATGCTCAGTTTATAGAATTCTTCGTCCTCGTCAGAAACGGTGTTATCCTCCAATGTTTTATCCATTTCTAGGTTTTTACCGTTATATTTCCAAGTGTAACTGGCAGCATGTGCGTTGTACGTCACATACCTATCCAATATTTCTGACATTATTTCTTCTGAACAGACCTAGAATCATAAAAAATGCTAATGATGCTATTATGCATAATGACATGTGGTCAATATAACCACAGAACTGATTTTGTGGCTTCTTTGCAGTGCTCTTGCAACACCATATTAGTTCTTTTAGAAGCGTGTATGAAATCAAAAATTGTATATATTGCATTGCATCATGAATCATTATAATCTGACTTATTTTGCTCATAGATTTACGTCAGTGCATGCGCTACTTAAAGGGTGGTGGTCGTCGCGCAGTACGTGTTTGAATTTCATGTAAATAAACAATGTATTGTACATGCGTTGTATACGTCTCTATGAGTCCCATATCGAACAGGACAACCATCGCCCTTTAAATAATCACATAGTTAACAAATCTGTAATCACATTAAACACAGCTGTTCCTGATTCTGGGGAGGGTTAACAAGATTATTACAACACTAAACAAAGTTGGTTGGAATGAGTGGTCAAAACATATGAGAAATCATAATATTACATCTTTTTCAACTAACCATTCTAAACAATATTGCACTGCAGTATCTAGCCCTCTTGTTCGTTGAATGCAATGGGTCACTATTCTAATTTGTAGGCATCGGTAGAAGGGCAGGAATGATACCGCCAAATTTTGCTCAACTACGAATGTTTTCATTTATTGAATTCAGATCTTTAGTGGCACCACCAACGTTAGTAGAGAGGGGACACTAAATTTGGTACAAGATGAAAGCCGATGCATTTGTGACAAGGATAGAGATTACATTTTCATCAGGACACTCTGTATAAATGCTAACACACTGAGAAAAGGTATACTTGATCTGCGCCATCTATTTTATCTAATCTGTGTAGAGCACTAACACAATGTTGCAGAGTCCCAAATTAAATAAAAAAAATAAATGTTCATACATTACACAAACATGTTGTATGAAGTCAACATTGAACACTGTTTTCAACACATGCGATGACTGTTTGAATGGACAGATGGAATTCATTTTTTTTCAAAATTGAAGGTTATAGCTACCTCAATAACTTGCTCCTGTGAAGTAAGTGTATTTATTATTTTAATAAATCTTGTTTTCTTGGAAAGTATCCCGACACAATAACTGTCGTCTTTCCACCAGGGTCTGCCAAAATCATTTGCCCAGTCTGTTCTTGGAAATGACGGTGGTATGTGTATAAATCTACCGTGTGGTGTGTAGGCAATCTTGCAGCCTGTAGTTGGGTCGATATGAGTACGAATCTGAAAAAAAAAAAATTTAAAACAAGATTTATTATTCTTGTGAAACATTTGATTTGCAGTATGCCTTATATATTCACTGTAGAATTTAGAAATGTACCCTATGTTGTATATTTATTGCTCGTAACGATGCCAAATTTACTAGAATATAACAAAATGACCAATCATTGAAACAACAACTTTATCAGTAATTTACAATACACATGATTATATACAAGATTATTCTAGACTTGGTTGATTGGTGTCATGGACCTCTCAAAAATTTGGTTTATATAAATAAATTGTTCTTCTGGTTGATTGACAAAAAAATTTTGGGTCACTGACTTATTTTTCAGTATTTACACTTTTACCATTGGTTCCTATGGAAATATTATGCCATATCTCAAATTGTTGGCTGATGACATAGGATGAAAAACAAAGATATTGGAAGTCCTATTTGTTATCATACGAGTCAGAAAAAAACATTGTTTTGCTTTACATTAATATTGTTATAGTATTTGGCCAAATTCCGTAAAATGCTTACCATGGAACAAAAATCCATGATTTTACATAATAAACCAATGAACATTGTCACCAGATTTATGACCATTCATCAACTTTCTTAGAAGACACACATACAGTTGTATAGACTGGCCTAGACTGGCGCAGTCAAGGCGATTAATTTGTTTTTTGTAGTTTAAATACAATTAAAAAATTCGCGAAATGGAGGTGGTGGCGCGGCTTGTTCATTGTGCAGGAAATTCATTGCTATTAAATATTCATGAATTACACGTATTATAATGAGGTGGGCGCGGAAATACGTGCATAATGAGGTCAACATGGTAAATGTCACACTGCAGACCCAACATGGCGGCACGTTGAAATTCGAGTTTTTCGTAGTCGTCGTTTCTGATTCATCACAATGTGTAAAAAAAATAACTCGTACTAGTTGTAGATTAAAAAAAAAATCGGCTGCTACAATCAGCAGACATCTTTTCGGTCAGAGGTCAGTTGAAGAGACGTTGTGATTGGCCTAGATGATTGTCAATTAAAACACTCATTAACATAATTACCCGTTGAAAAATCAACGGGTTCCTGCAGTGTCGATAGAGGGCCATGCAGAATAAACCAGTCGGGGTGATTTCGCAGTTACAGGTGATTTCGCGCTAACACCATTTCGCGATTTTTTTTTTATTGTATTTAAACTACAGTACAAAAACAAATTAATCGCCTGACTGCGCCAGTCTAAGACTGGCCGAACTGTGGTCCAATGCGAAATTACAACTGATCGATACTGCAGCATATCCATTGCTATTACTTATTCATGATATGCAGTGACGTTATGGAACACTTTCAAAAGAGGAAAGTAGGTGTGTATTTGTGTAAAATGTCAGACACATGTGCATGGAACAGATCGAACCAAAAGCTGCCTTTCTTATTGGTTGGTAGCTTACAAGTCATGCTACCATTAGCATATTTATCACCACAAAAACATGGTGACAATTATAGAGGGCGCTGCAGAACAGACCAGTTGTAGTAATTTCGCAACAACGCGAGAGGTACTATAAACTTGTTCTAAAAGAATTATATCAGTCTAACAGTTGTACTGCTTCTCATCTGGGG